GAGTACAAAGCATCAACGGACGAAAATATACTCTAGTCATTGTGGATGACTACTCTCGGTACACATGGACAAAATTCTTGAGGACAAAGGATGAAGCAGTAAAAACCATCATAACTCCAATCCCTCTAACACATGAGCGGAAGTGGACGAAGGCACATCCTGCTGAACAAATTATTGGAGATCCGAGTCGTGGAGTTTGCACCAGAACAGCAACAGCCAATGAATGCCTTTTCTCTTGCTTCATCAGCCAATCTGAGCCAACCAAAGTTTCCGAAGCTCTAGCAGATCCTGATTGGGTGATCGCAATGCAGGAGGAAATCAATCAGTTCGAAAGATTAGATGTATGGACCCTGGTGCCAAGGCCCCCGAAGAAAACAATAATTGGCACCAAGTGGGTCTTCAAGAACAAGAAGGATGAAGACGGTGTGATCGTAAGGAACAAAGCCCGACTAGTTGCAAAAGGATACAACCAACAAGAAGGAATTGACTATGATGAAACTTTAGCACCAGTGGCCAGAATTGAAGCAATCAGGTTGTTCCTTGCATATGCTGCTCATAAAAGTTTCACCGTCTATCAAATGGATGTAAAGACTGCGTTTCTAAATGGCGAATTAAAAGAAGAAGTGTTCGTGGCACAGCCAGAAGACTTTGTTGATCCTAAGCACCCACATTATGTCTACAAGCTGAAGAAAGCTCTGTATGGACTAAAACAGGCACCGAGAGCCTGGTATGATGCACTATCTGATTTTCTTGTGCAATCAGGCTACTCGAAGGGGAAGATAGATCCAACTCTTTTCATCAAGCGAGAGAACAGTGACATCATGCTGATACAAATCTATGTGGATGACATCATATTCGCATCATCCAATCCGAACTTCTGCGAAGAATTCAGCAACTTGATGCGCACTGAGTTTGAAATGAGTATGATGGGAGAGTTGAACTTCTTTCTAGGGCTACAGATCAAGCAAATGCCAGACGGAATATTCATCAGCCAGTCGAAGTACATCCATGAAATGCTCAAGAGATTCCAGATGGACAGCAAGTCAACCATGAAAACCCCTATGTCTCCCTCACAAAAGCTCGACTCTGACCCGTCCGGGATATCAGTCGATGCTACTAACTATCGGGCTATCATCGGTTCCTTGCTGTACCTGACATCTAGTAGACCGGATATTGTCTTTGCAACTTGTCTGTGCGCTCGCTTTCAAGCAAATCCAAAGGAATCACATCTGAATGCAGTAAAAAGAATCCTGAGATACTTGAAAGGAACAGTCAACTTAGGACTTTGGTATCCCAAAGACACGGGTTTTGACCTCATTGGTTACTCAGATGCTGATTTTGCAGGTTGCAAGTTAGACCGGAAAAGTACGTCCGGTGGTGCTCAATTTCTGGGAGAGAAGCTTGTCTGTTGGTCCTCCAAAAAGCAGAACTGTGTGTCAACTTCTACAGCCGAAGCAGAATACGTTGCGGCTGCTAGTTGTTGTTCTCAAATCCTATGGATGAGGACTCAACTCAGAGACTACGGCTTCTTGTTCAATCACATCCCGATTTACAGTGACTCCCAGAGTGCAATCGCCATAACCAGCAACCCCGTTCATCACTCGCGCACCAAGCACATCGACCTGCGCTATCACTTCATCAAGGACCATGTGGAGAAGGGAGATGTTGATTTGTACTTTGTTAGCACCGAGCTTCAACTGGCTGACATATTTACTAAGGCATTGGATGAAAAGAGATTCCAGTTCCTAGTATCTAAGTTAGGCATGTTGAACTTCGATCCAATGTAATTATGTATCTCCCGCTGGTCTGAATAAAATGTGTGTGTGTGTTGTGTGCGTTGCATGTGTTGAGGGGGAGAAAAGGGGAGAAAATAAAAGAGGGTAGAATACTTTGAGGGGGAGAAAAAGAAGAAAAGTCAGAAAAAGAGTGTGTGTGTGGTGTGTGTAAAAAATCAGAAAAGTCAGAAAAAGAGTGTGTGTGCGCAAAATCAGAAAAAGAAGAAAAAGAGTGAGTATGTGAGTACATTTTTGTTCTTCTCTCTCATGCACAATTTGAGGGGGAGTTTTTTTCTGTACATAAATAAATCTTTGGGGCCCAAAAATATCTTTTAAAACTGAACCAGGCCCAACTCAAACTTTTGGGCCCGAGACACTTCTCGCACGGCCCAACTGATTTCTCTCGTATAAAGGGGACCTCGAGAACAATCCTTTCGCATAACTCATCTTTCTCGCATCCAAGTTCTCGAAGTCCTCAAGTTTTCTGGCATTCTCATATCTCTCGAACTCTCGATTTCACAATCAAAGGTAGTAATTCTGAAAGAAAAGGTTTTCAAAATGGTTTTCGCACACTATGGCAAAGTTCTCGATGCAAAATTTGGAAAAATTTCCCGTATTGACATATCGAGAACTATGTTTTCTCGAACTCGGAAACTTGAATTCGAAAAGTTTTTTTTTAACTTGGATATAATCATTATGTTGTGTTAAAATTGCAGGTGGTACTCGACATTTCTTCTGAGTACGAACTCGAGAAATCTATTTTCTCGATGTTTAGAACTCGAGATCAACTTCTCGAGACTTTGGATTTCGAGGAACGGTTCTCGATGTTAAACCTCGAAAAGATACTTTTCGATGTTTAATACCGAAAACCTACTTCTCGAAGTTGGAAGTACCGAGAAGAGGTTCTCGACACTAAACCTCGAAAAGATGGTTCTCGATGTTTAAATCACGAGAAGGACTTTTCGATACTTTCATATCGAGAACCAAGTTCTCGATATCCGAGTATCGAGAAGAGCTTCTCGATATTTAAGACTCGAGAACCTACTTCTCGATACTCAAACCTCGAGAAGCTGGTTCTCGTGGTTTGTACTTAGAAAATTTTTTTTCGAGAAATTCACCTATTCACACCTGATCTGAAAAATTCCAAAAAAAAAAAAAACAATTGAACAATGTGCTGACCCAATTCTTTCAGCTCAACAATGTCAGGAACAGACCGGAATGCACAATCAAGTGATGATGTCTACTCCAAGGAGAACTGGGTCCCAATCTATGACAACAATTTTCAACTAGACCTGAAACTCTTCAAATGTCAGGACCCGGTCATTCTCTCCATTCTACAAAAGTACTACCTCTGGTTTGCATTCAATGAGGCCAAACCTGTGCCAGAGGTATACCTGCAGCAATTCAGGGGCTGCATGCGAACTGAGAGTAAGAAGGATCGGTCAAAGATCATGACCAAACTAGCTGACAAGAGAGTGGTGCTAACACCTTCCACAATCCGGGAGACTCTGAAGCTCCCAATGCACCAAAGCTACGCACCACTCCCCTCAAACGAAGAGCTGATAAAGGGGATGAAAGCTCTTGGTTACGACAGCCCACTGCCCCTACTGTCAAATTTCACAATCTCCAACCTGCCTCATCCGTGGAAGAGTCTGTTCGGCCTGGTCAACAAGTGTCTTTCTCCGAAGCACGCCGGACATGACAAGTGCAACAAGCAAATCCTTCAAATCTTCCACGGAATCGCATTTGATAAGCAGTACGACATGGCCCAGCTCTTCTGGACAGAGCTGATGGACCAGGTGAAGATAAAGGAGAACAACAAGGGTAGCACAATCCCTTACGCTAGGTGGTTGGCACTGATGATCCACAGCATGATGGAGGCCACCCCTACTATTCCAAAGCGTAAGGGAGATAATCATTTCACCGCCCCAAAGCTCAAATACTTCCAGAGGGACAGCAATAAGGCTGAAGCACTGCCTATTCCGGACTCCCTGCTTGATCTAGCAAACCCGAGGGATAAGGCAGTCATCGACTACAAAGAGTCATTGAAGAGAACGGTTCCTATGGTTCAGCAAAACCCAGCTGGACCTACCCAGGGGACCAAGCCAAGTGAGGGTAAGAAGAAGAGAGCCCCGCCACAGAAACCAGTGGCAACCCGGCCTAATGATGATCAGTCTGCTAACTCTTCCGAGAGGACCCAGACTGCTGAGGGCCGCCCTAATGCTAAGGACACTGCCGATGAACCATCAAGCCAGGCCCCTTCTAATAAGGCTGGTGGTGAGGCCTCCGATAGCATGGCCAAGGGAAATGAGCAAAGTGATGATGATGCAGATGATGATGATGACATGGAGGGAGTTTTGCTTAGTAACAGAAGAAGAGCTGGCAAACAGGCCATTCCAATCAACTCCGACTCCTCATCGGAAGATATTGAGGCTGCACTCACGCCCCGACCACTCAAAGGGATCATTATTAGTGAGCAGCGCTCCAAGCAGAAAAGTGATAAGTCTGCATCATCCAAGCCTAAGAAGAGGCTGAGAAAGAAGAGTGCAGTGGAGGAGGAGCTGGCACTGTATGATGACTGCGACACCTTCGTCACTATAGACCGAACCACGCCCCTAGGAGCAGGAGCTGACCTTGTCAGTTCCCGGGTAGAAGTCGCAGCATCCGGTTCAACTGCGCATGCACAGCCATCTCCCATCCACTCTCCAGTCTCCCAACAGACTGGAGTTTCAATAACTCAAGGGGAACTTATACCGACCTCACTGATTCCTTCCGAATCTGCTGAGAGACTTAGTGGTCAACAGCCCCGGACCACTACCCCCATTCGTTCTATCACATCGAGTCTAGGTGTCACCATCCCTACATTTTCACATTTTTCTAGGACACCTACACTATTCACTGCACATACAGGTGCACTCACCCTGAATGCAACGACCGGAGTGCAAACTATGATGGTCAGAAGCCCTGCTACGCCAACAATGCCTCGATCATTGAACGCAAGCCACACATCAGCTATCTTCACTGATGTTGTGACAACAGTTACAACTCCTGTAACTGGAACCATTATTCCCGAAGACATTCTCGTATATCTGAACAGCTTTCTAGAGTCTACCATTAAACCATGGGTGCATGAAGCAATAACCGCTAATGCACAAGACTCTGGAAGTACCCCAGTTGTTCAGGATATACCACCCAAGCCCCAAACCATACAGCCCTGATAGACAATTTATAAGTCCTCGCAAGTGCACGAGTCACGGTAGTATAGTGCACAAGTAAGGGTCGAATCCACAGGGAAAATGTAACCAAGTAATTGGAAAACTATTAATTAATAAAAATTAATAAAAATAAAAGTGAAAGTAATCTAACTAAAAAATGAGTTTTGGATTTGTTTGATTTGAAATGAAATACTAATACTAAAGATGGAATAAAATGAATGCAAGGAATTTAAATGAATGAAAATAAAATGATTAAACAACTAATTTGAGATTGATTGAGAATTAAGCAAGAGAAAAGGTAGTCCAGGATTATGAATCAGTCACTAATTTTTAGTATTTGTGATTTAGTTAGCCAAATAGAATTGAGGGTTCGTTCTAGACAAAAATATGACTATCCCGTATGGCGTCCAGAATAAGTCACGTACTTTAACTATTAATTAAAAGGAAATTATTAATTCAATAGTTAAAATCCATTAATCACAAAAGAACTACGGAAACCCGATTTAAGAACCAAATAGATAACTCAACAAGACAGTTCAATTATCTATTCTTTTATCCAAAAGAGCTCGAAGTAATAGGCATGGCATGTACTCTATTAATCCACTCAAACGACTTAATTAATCATGCTAAAGTTGGCCAGAAGTTAACACAAGAAATTAAGTGAATAAGAACAATGGATAAAACTCAATCAATTGACTTAACTAAAATCACAATGTATACTAAATCATAGCAACTTCATCATCATCCAGGACTTAAAAATTTAGCTACTCATCCTGAAATAGAAATTTAGTAAAACAGTAAGAAATAAAGAGATCATCTTAACGATAATGAAATCAACCGACTGTGCTAATACTCAAATATTTAAATAGATTACGAGTCAAGACCATGAGGGATTGGGGTTGATTCAACCAGAATTTTCTAGAACAGTAAACGATTCCTTCCTCCAGGAATTTGCAGCCTGCAAACCAGAAGAACTGTGTGTCGTCCCTGGGCCAGGTCTCTGCCCTCCCTTTCCGAGAAGTATCTACGTCCCTTGCTATGCACAGACAGTGACTAAGCAGCCCCGTCCTCTTCGAATCAGCTCCCAACTGTCCGGCTTCCTCCTGCCTAGCTGCTCCAGTCCGGCTTATTCTCCTCCAGGGAACCCTTGCTGCCGAATAGATGGAGCCACGCCCAAAAAATAGATCCGAGACCCCTAAACCCTTTCTGCTGCACTCTCCTTCTTCTTGGGCTTTTTTTTTTCTTCTTGGGTTGCTGGTGCGGATCTTTTTTTCTCTTTTGATTACTGGACTCCAACTCTTATTTTCTTTTTGCTATTGCTGTCTAATTAAGAGGAGTAATCCTCTTTTTCTTTTCTTTTGATGTTTGCTGCGCAGGAGTCTTTCTCCAGAACAAAAAGTGTTTGGCTTGCTTCTTTTAATTTTTCAACTGGAAAAGGATAAATCTCCACAATTCAGTCCAAGAGTCCTCAAATTCTTCAATTAAAGTTCCACAAATAAAAATCATTTTTAACACAAAATATAATTAAAGCCTCTCAATTAGGCAAATAATAAGCATAGAATTGTGACAAAAATGGATCACAAATTCTAACTCATCAAACTCCCCCACACTTGCATTTTGCTTGTCCTCAAGGAAAATTAATATCAAGAAACAATTCAGCAACAAGCGATCAATTATTCCCTTCCACTCACCAAACATTCCAACAAACCTCTCCATGAAAAAAAAAATATCTCAAGAAATTCGAATCAAGTATCCACCACAATGCCAAACTCAAGAGTCAATTACCGAGATTCACATGCCATTAATAAAGATGTATTTTACAATTCTAAATGACCTAGTGAGATGCTCAAGAAACTTTCCAGAATTCATGCAAAATCCAAAGCCAATCAGTCAACACTCTATAGTCATCATGCACTCTTCGTTCCACCTTATCAAAGCACAACTTGATCAAGATCACTTAGGACTTTTATTGGGTTGTAACGTGGTCATGGGTGATGGTTTATGAAAGAAAGGATGTGGTGATTCAAAACAAAGGAGAAGGCATTTTTTTATACCAAACTGATCCTAGGAAGAGTACAAAAATATGGTAAAGGAGCACAAAAAACTATTACAACAATCAACCGGCTTCTAAGACAACGGAGTGCATACAGAAAGTGAAAAGAATACAAACTTCAACTCAACTCATCTTTTTTTTCCTTTTTTTTTATCACTTTTTTTTTCGTATTTTCTCTTCTTCTTTTTTTCTCTTTTTTTCAGCTTTTTTTTTGAATGCTACATCAACACTACTTCTAAAAGGAAATGACAAACTGCCATAACAAAATTACATATACAAACAGCCGGAAAAAAAATGCTCCAATAAGATGAAAACTCTTCCAAGTCACAATTTAAGTAAAAAAATGTCAACTCAAGGGTGAGGGATAAATTTTGGCTATTTGGGCTCGGGTCAATATTGATGGGTAATAACAAAGAAATTATTAGTCAAAAGCACGGTAGAATGTCTTCCAATTAGGCTCAAAGGGGTAGCAAGTGGAAATAAAATGCAAAGGGTAGGTTAAAAGTCTCGGGTTATGAAAAATGGCCTAGATCACTTCTCAATCAGTTTGCACAATAACTTAGCTTCCAAAAGAGCAACAAGACAAGTTCTATCATGCTAGATAAAAGACAAAGGACTCACACTCTTTCCAGGAACGTTCAAGATGCATCCTAAAAGATCATAAAGAATTGAAAAGTACATCAAAATTAATGACACAAGAGGTTAAGAAATTGACTCCAAGTAAAAACAATGTGAAGAACTCAATCAAATTCAAGAGAAAATCTATGATGGAGACCACCAATCATACCACATACCAATGAAAGGAGAACTATTCACAACTTGATGCCGAAAAGGTAATCCTGAAATTAAACTTCCCTCAAATCCAAGCAAGAAAACTGTTTTTTTTTTGGCATTTTTCTGATTTTTTTTTTTTTTTGCAATTTTCACAACTATATTAAAATTAAACGAATGAGAGCTACTCCTCCCCCACACTTATTTCAAACATTGTCCTCAATGAAAGATTAATAAAAAGAGAAAGGTGAAGAAGAACTCCCTGAAAGCACTTGAAACAAAAACTGAAACCTCTTGAAAATTGACCTGCAAAACTAAAACTAACAAAGAAAGAAAAGAAACAAATTGGGGAGGGTGAAACAGAATTAAGAAAATCGTTTTTTTTTTTTTTTGATTTTGTTTTTTTTTTTTTTTTTAAAATATGTGATTAAACACAACAAGAGCAACACTGTTCCCAAAGAAATTCAAGACTCTCAACTTGCTCCACTGAATCTTCACTACATGAATATCTCTTGACTCTCTCACCATTCACTTTCAAAATATTCCCGGATTTTGGATTTATAAGCTCAATTGCACCGTCGGGAAATATTTTGTGAATCACAAAGGGACCAGTCCACTTGGTCTTTATTTTTCCTGGAAAAAATCTTAAACGAGAGTCAAGCAACAACACCTTTATTCCAGGTTTAAAATCCTTTCTTAAAATGGACTTATTATGCAAACAATTAATGCCCTTCTTGCAAACTTTCGCTTTCTCAAAAGCATGATTCTCAAGCTCATCTTCCTGTAACTTGTCCAAAGAAACAATAGGATCAAGAATATCAAGTGCAAAACATGAATCAGAATCAGCCGACATACTCATTGATTTCAAAATGGAAAACTCAACAGTTTCATCAAGCACACTCATAGTCAATTTTCCATTTTGAACATCAATCATAGTTTTTGCCGTAGCCATAAAAGGTCTACCAAGTAAAATCGGCATGTCTGTCACAGACTTACACCGATCATCCATGTCTAAAACCACAAAATCAGTAGGAATAATCAACTTATCCACTTGAACTAAAACATCCTCTATAATGCCCCTGGGATATCTAATAGACCGGTCAGCAAGCTGTAGGGACATAGTAGTGGATTTTAGCTCATTCAACCCTAATTTCAAATAAACAGAATAAGGCATCAAATTTATACTTGCCCCCAAATCAAGCATAGCTTTTTCGGATTTAGAATTCCCCAAATTAATGTTGATAATAAAACTGCCAGGGTCTTCTAATTTTGGGGGCAAATCTTTTTGCAAAACATCACTAACAGCCTTAGAAACAAACACTTTTTCATTCGGTTCATACCTACGCTTTCTAGTGCTCAATTCTTTCAAAAATTTAGCGTAGGCAGGCATGTTTTTTATCATGTCAAGAAGAGGCAAATTCACATTAACCTTAGACAGCAACTTATAAATCTCATCAAAAGAATTGTTAAGCTTAGAACTTTTTAACCTGTTTGGGAAAGGAACGGGTGGAACATATGGCTTAGGCGGCACATATGGATCTTCAGCTTTGTGCAGCTCGATCTCCTCATCCACTGATTCAGACTCAACTTCTTCCTTCTTTTCAGCTTCTACCTTCTTCGGTTGCTTAGGAATGGGCAGCCCTTCATTTTTCTCAATTATCTTCCCACTCCTAAGAACTGTGACAGCTTTTGCTTCTTCAGTGTGGCTCGGTAGCTTCCCTTGCACATGGCCTTGGAGAGATTCAGCAATCTTCCCAACTTGTATCTCTAGCTTCCTCAAAGAGGCCTCGGTGTGCTGAAAACGTTGCTCATTTGCTTGCTGATTTTGGGTGCAGATTTGCATGAAAGTTTGCAAAGTATCCTCCAAAGCAGGCTTCTTTTGAACAGGTGGTGGCTGGTTGCTTTGTTGTGTGTTACTCCAAGAGAAATTAGGATGGTTCCTCCAACCGGGATTGTAAGAGTTGGAGAATGGATCATTTCTTGGCCTTTGATTGTAGGAGTTCATCATATGAGCTTGCTCAAAACCAGCTTCAGGTACTGCATGCACAACAGGAGTAGACATGCTCATTGTCATCACGGAGCACATATTCTTCATCTGTTTGGACAACTCAGACATCTGGATGGCTAGTTCTGTCCCAACGCCCACTTCATAAATTCCTGGAGTTCTGCCCTGCACACTCTTCTGTTGTGAATTGGCTCCGAGCATATCAAAAAGCTCTAAAGTCTGTTCTGCGGTCTTCTCTCCCATTGCTCCTCCAGCTGCGTTGTCAACAATAGCTTGGCATCCTTGGTTTAAACCGTCATAAAAGGTCTGATTCTGGAGCGCCAATGAATAACCGTGGTGAGGGCATTGAGTGAGTAGCATCTTGAATCTCTCCCACGCCTCATGAAATGGCTCACCTTCAGCTTGAGTAAAAGTGGCAATCTTTCTTCTTAATTCTGAAGTTTTCGACTGAGAATAATACTTGCCAATGAACTTATTGTACACATCATTCCAAGTGCGCAGGGAACCAGGTGTCAAAGACATAAACCATGCCTTCGCAGCTTCTTTTAGAGTGTAGGGAAAACACCTCATCTTCAGCTCATCTTCAGTCACTCTTTTCAAGGGGAAATTCTGAACAATGCCATAGAAGTCTCGAATAAAAATCAGGGCATCCTCAGATGAAAGCCCATGAAAAGATGGCAATTGGTTAAAGTGAACCGTCTTTAGATCATAGTTCCTGGCAGCCTCACTCAATACAATGCAAGACGGAGAGACACCCACAGTCGGTCTCCCAAATTCTTTCATCAGTTGAGCGTCGCCCATTGTTGGATTAAGTGTAAATCGAAACCTCCTTTTTGTCCTTTTTCCAATTAAGTCAACTTGGTCGTTCAACGATAGCAAATCTGGATTAAGTGACCTGCGACCAAGCATACAAAAAAAACGAAAAAAAAAAAAAAAAAAAGCAAACACAACTAACTAAAATAAAAACTAAATTAACAATTTTCCAAAAACTAGTTAAACAAATTCCCCGGCAACGGCGCCAAAAATTGATAGACAATTTATAAGTCCTCGCAAGTGCACGAGTCACGGTAGTATAGTGCACAAGTAAGGGTCGAATCCACAGGGAAAATGTAACCAAGTAATTGGAAAACTATTAATTAATAAAAATTAATAAAAATAAAAGTGAAAGTAATCTAACTAAAAAATGAGTTTTGGATTTGTTTGATTTGAAATGAAATACCAATACTAAAGATGGAATAAAATGAATGCAAGGAATTTAAATGAATGAAAATAAAATGATTAAACAACTAATTTGAGATTGATTGAGAATTAAGCAAGAGAAAAGGTAGTCCAGGATTATGAATCAGTCACTAATTTTTAGTATTTGTGATTTAGTTAGCCAAATAGAATTGAGGGTTCGTTCTAGACAAAAATATGACTATCCCGTATGGCGTCCAGAATAAGTCACGTACTTTAACTATTAATTAAAAGGAAATTATTAATTCAATAGTTAAAATCCATTAATCACAAAAGAACTACGGAAACCCGATTTAAGAACCAAATAGATAACTCAACAAGACAGTTCAATTATCTATTCTTTTATCCAAAAGAGCTCGAAGTAATAGGCATGGCATGTACTCTATTAATCCACTCAAACGACTTAATTAATCATGCTAAAGTTGGCCAGAAGTTAACACAAGAAATTAAGTGAATAAGAACAATGGATAAAACTCAATCAATTGACTTAACTAAAATCACAATGTATACTAAATCATAGCAACTTCATCATCATCCAGGACTTAAAAATTTAGCTACTCATCCTGAAATAGAAATTTAGTAAAACAGTAAGAAATAAAGAGATCATCTTAACGATAATGAAATCAACCGACTGTGCTAATACTCAAATATTTAAATAGATTACGAGTCAAGACCATGAGGGATTGGGGTTGATTCAACCAGAATTTTCTAGAACAGTAAACGATTCCTTCCTCCAGGAATTTGCAGCCTGCAAACCAGAAGAACTGTGTGTCGTCCCTGGGCCAGGTCTCTGCCCTCCCTTTCCGAGAAGTATCTACGTCCCTTGCTATGCACAGAGAGTGACTAAGCAGCCCCGTCCTCTTCGAATCAGCTCCCAACTGTCCGGCATCCTCCTGCCTAGCTGCTCCAGTCCGGCTTATTCTCCTCCAGGGAACCCTTGCTGCCGAATAGATGGAGCCACGCCCAAAAAATAGATCCGAGACCCCTAAACCCTTTCTGCTGCACTCTCCTTCTTCTTGGGCTTTTTTTTTTCTTCTTGGGTTGCTGGTGCGGATCTTTTTTTCTCTTTTGATTACTGGACTCCAACTCTTATTTTCTTTTTGCTATTGCTGTCTAATTAAGAGGAGTAATCCTCTTTTTCTTTTCTTTTGATGTTTGCTGCGCAGGAGTCTTTCTCCAGAACAAAAAGTGTTTGGCTTGCTTCTTTTAATTTTTCAACTGGAAAAGGATAAATCTCCACAATTCAGTCCAAGAGTCCTCAAATTCTTCAATTAAAGTTCCACAAATAAAAATCATTTTTAACACAAAATATAATTAAAGCCTCTCAATTAGGCAAATAATAAGCATAGAATTGTGACAAAAATGGATCACAAATTCTAACTCATCAAGCCCCCAACTACTCTAATCCCAATTTCCCAACCTTTAACCCTAGGAAACCAACAACCATCCACTTCAAGGGGAACCCAGGATACAGAACTAGTATCCTCCCCTACAACGACCAAACCCAATCTCAAAACCATACCCTTCGAGGACCTTGTAGCTGAGGTCTTTGACCGTATACTAGACGTGGAAGAAGGCAACCTTACCCCTCTTCAAAAAGCCCTTCTCCATGCTCTAGATACACAGAACACATGCCGTGAAAGTCTCCGTGGCACTAAACGTTCACATGAGGATCCTGATGATTCGGATTCTCATGAGGGGGAGAACAAGCGCCAGCGGATACTTGAGCATGTTGCTTCTACTAGCCAACCCTCAAAACCAAACCAACCCTCCACCTCCACCAATGAGCAACCCACTACTTCAGCTAGCCATAAATCCCTAGCCACTCTTTCTAGCATGGTCGAGCTAGACATAACATCCCGAGGTGCATCTCCTATAGATGTTGACCAAGGACGGAATGGAAGTCCTGATGATGCTACCACGAGTACATCTTCCTACTCAGGCCATCAGCTAGAACCTAGTTCGAAACTGATGTCAACGGGCAATCCTGAGGATCCCGGAGTCACCCAGTCTCAGCCGAGGAAGGATTGGCCGCATGTAACGAAGTATAGAGGTCTGGTCTCTGCGCAAGAGCATCGTGTTGAGATAATTGAGGATCCCTGCAAGTTTCACCAGGATCCCGATGCTACGCCAGACATGTCACCACAGCAAGAGCAGGCTCCCTCCAGCTACTACAATGATCAAATGCACGATGAACTTGAGGAAATGCTTGTGCACAACAAATGGTCTGAACTCTGGACAGATGTAGATGAATCACAGCGAAGAGCATACCTCAGAGATCTCTTAGTCAACTGTGCTACTGATGTGATTCTACATGATCAAGATGAACTCAAGGAGGGAGAGAACTACGAGACACCACCCAAGGAGCTTGAGTCAATCATTAGACAAACGGCAGCTCAAATGCCCAGAAATGAGAAGCCCTGGGAAAGATCGACATCAACGCCCCCTTTCAAGAGGAAATCAGAGAAAACATCTGGCGAAAAGAGGATAAGGTCAGAGAACTGGACGAACTAAAAATCCGTGGTCTCAACCATCTACGAGGACAAAACAAGGGTGGACAGCTGTTTCTACTTAGTCATCACTATATGGGAAAACAGAGAGAAATCTGGCAACATGAACTTCAAACTGCCAAGGACCCAGTCTGGGCTATTCTCAACGTGGCCGAAACAGATCTTCAAGATATCAGACTCTCTGTCTACCATCTACAGCGCTCTGACGGAACAGAATTCACATGCAAGGAAAATGATCTCTACATGCTAAAAATGGATGACATCTATCAGATGTATCTTGCATTCCAGGAAATTCCAGGCATTCGTGACAAAACTACACAAAATGGGCTGGATGCACTCAAGCGCTTTATGATCAGACAAATCAAATTCTTTGCCTCTCATGATCTTCAAATGGCTCTTGAAACAAACATTCCAAAGACAAACCTCACAAGACCAAAGCTGTATGGACCTGAACTTGAGGACTTTCCTGCCTACTACATTTTTGACAGTCCCATCACGCTCATCTATCTAAATCATAATGGTGAGAAGCGTTTGTTATTCATTGATGAGATAAACAAATATTGCGATGGAACACTGAAGATTGTGAAGGAGAAACTGCAACCTATCAGAGAAGCATTTAAAGAGAAGCAGCAGAAGTATGCAGATGCCACAGACGCTGAATTGAAAGAGGCACATAGAATTGACAACATTCTACAGGTTATCCAGAAACAACTTGAAAAAAGAAATTCACTCAGAAGCTATGAGCATGCGCTTAATCTCAGGAAGAATTATTATAAAGCTCAATAGTGAAGAGAAGAAGAAGCAAGACGGCACTTGATCACAAAGGGGGAGATTGTTGAGGAAAATATTTGTTGTGATCAAGTTTGTCTAGAGTCTTGTTATCCCAATTAGATTAGACTTATCCTTTTTAGTATTTATGTAAAGAATAAATGAGTTAAGGGAATAGGGCCCAAAAAGGCCTTAGGCCCAGAGCTCTAGGTTACCATTTTGGTACCTATACCTACGCCTATAAATATGCGTACATGTGGTACAGGACCGAATAATCGAGAATCAGAAATATACAGCGCCTTTCATTCAGAACATTCATTCTATAGTTCTCGATAGTATAGCGTAAGGATTTCTTCTGTTCAGATTATCTCTCGATCATTATTAAGAATCCTTCTCTATATTATTGTAGATAGTTCATAGCTGTTCATTCATCCTGAAATTTGGGACCAACAGATCTTCATGAGTGTATCCACAGAATGGATTATTAGCAAGCATCTGAATCATGGTTGTCTTGATTTCAAAATTGTTGGCCTCAATGGTGGGTGCACCAATGCTATTTCTCGCCACATAATTAGGCGTCAACGTCTCTAGAGTTGTCTGATTAGCAATTTTCTCCAAGTCTTCTAGTAAACGCCTTTTAGCTCTTCCTCGGAATAAGCGTTCAGGATTAGAATACCCTGCAATTAGATCTTGTTCCCCCGAGGAGCGAGTGCGCATACACTGGTTCCTGCAGCTTAGTTCACACGCAAAGAACACCAAAAACGACAAACAAATAACGGGAAAAAATATAGAAAGTCTCACCGACTTGCTTTTACCTATTCCACATAAAGTACTTAACACACAACTGTGCCACTCCCCGGCAACGGCGCCATTTAATCGGTGTATTTTTTAGTGAGTAAAACGTAGTTGGCTAATAAGAAGGATAACCAGACCACGAGTATCGTCTCTCAAGGAGTGGCAAAAAAGAAGTTTTAAATACGATCCGTGATCACAGGCTAGCACAAGTCATGATAATCTTTCCGAATAAATTCTTTTTGGGTGGTTTAAAAAAAAGACTAACTAACAGCGAGTGCAAAAATAAATAGAGAAAGAAAATTAAGTAAATTGATTCTAGATATTAAAACAGGGTTCAAATTGGATGGTTCGGGTTCTAGGTGTTCTTTCAGGATTAAAATTTAGTAAATTAATTTTCAAATATTCCTGGATAGAAAATGAAATAAATTCTCATAGACAAGAATTTTATCAAATTTTCACAATTCTAACTTATTTCTAAGATCAGATTGCTTGTATAAGATCTGAGCTAATTTAACTCAATTTCTCATAGACAAGAATTGAATTAAATCCAAGTATTCATATGTGAGGTGATCAAATTCATATAGATAATTAATATTAATCTTGTACAATTTTCCAAAAAAAAAATTGAATTTTAAAGAACTAAATTTCACACCCTCAAGAACCCATGAACCCTAGCCCCAATTCAAACACTATATGGGATTAGCTACCCATAATTAAAATTAGAGAGAATTGCCATAATAAGACTAAAACTTGGAACAAATGCAAAACTAGGACTCCTATGTTTAATTTGCAAAACGAGGACTACAAATTACCTAATTAGACAAAAATACCCTTAATGATTATCGCTGCAGTACTTAACCAGCAGAGTACCATCGACGATTACATTGCTGCATAATCCGGTCCGAAAGAGCGCACCAGGTAATCTCTTCTTCCTCTTTCCCTTCTTCTTCCTTTCTCCTTTCTTCCTCTTTCTTCTTCTTCGTTCTTTTTCCTCCTCTTCTCTCCTTCTTCTTCCAGATCCTTATTTCTTCATTTTTAAATTTGTTTATTGTTAATTCATTTACTATTTCAGATTATAAATCAAAAATACTATTTTGGATATGAAAGCTTGAGATAAAAACGACAATTCGACGAACGGTCATGATCAGAAATATTTGGATTTGGATTTTTATTACTTTTTTTTAGTTTTGATTAGATTTGTTTATGAAAATGCCATAAATGCTTGTTATTAGAAAAATGTCATTTTTATGTCATTATATTATATCAAGATATCAAGATGTCAATATTTTAATGACATGTTTTTTGAATGGATTTCCAAATGTTGTCATTTTTAGCAATATTATTTCCGAAAATGCCATGATGTTGGAAGTTTCATATAAAGACATAACATTCTCAGTTGTAAAAAATATGAATTTTTAGATGAAAAATAATGGCAATTTAAGGATGATAATTTTGACATCATTGGGAAAACATGTCAAAAAACATGTCATTTCTAATAACAAGTAGTTATGACATTCTTAGATAACCCATAAAAAATGCCATAAAAAGTCATAAGAATGACATTTTCTTATGCACATGTGACATTTTCATATTGTCATTCTGCTAAATATACTGTCACATATGTGGCAGTGTTTTCAAATAACCAATAATTTTGACATTCTCAAATTATAAAATTGACATTTTGCTGAATAAATATAATTCAAATAAAAAAATCCAAATTAATATATAAAATTCAAAAACCATAAAGATTCAAAGAAGAAGAGAACAAAGGATCAGAAATTTGAAGAGGCCAGGATTAGAAGAAAAAGAAGAGAAAGAGGAAGAGGAAGAGGAAGAGGAGGAGGATACCTGTAATCTTTGGAGGAACCTGCAGCAGCTTGGATTTGGAGAGCTACTATTGATTTCGCCGATGGCCTGGGAAGCTTCGATCTGGAGAGCTGCTATTGATGGCGCCTATGGGAGAAATCGCAAGAGCTGGGCGCGGAAGATAACACAGAACAGAGCAGGCGAAGTTGAGTTTAATAAGAGGAAGGGTAAAAGGGTAATCTGGAGTCCTATTTAGGGAATAAAAAACTTGAAGTCCCATTTAGGAGTTTAGCCCATGTTTTAGTCCCATTTTGGACAATTTCTATTAAAATTAACATCACAATAACATTTATAAACCTGATACGGAGCTAGCAAACAACTGGAGTATGACTATTCAATGGAAAAGAAAACTGAAATTATAAGTTGGAGATAAACAATTCAAAATTCCATCCAAAAGTACGAACTAGTAATGTAAAACTTACTGAAACTTACAACCATAACTTGGAATCTAAACTTTATTGGAAGCAATTGAAAGAAAAGTGATGTTTAGGAGCTTGGTTATCCTCTCTTGGCTGCTGCTACGTTATTCCTTAAGGGAGAGAAAGAAATTGCTGGTGCTTGCCACTTGATTTCAGAAAGGAAAAAGTCGCTCCTAATAGAGTAGATTAGTTATTTATTTAATTATTATTAGTATGGGACTCACATTGTAATTATTACTCTTGTTTCCTATATATATATCTGCCAGGGCTAACATTGTCTGTGAAAGACTACCCTTAATATTAGTTAAAACTATTGGTTTTTCTGCCCTTAATATTACAAATATAGTTACTACTAAATTGGATGCTGTGAAAGACTACCTGTCTTGGCGCACTCAATTTGAGTCTTTTCTGGTTTCGAATGGTTTTTTGGGTATTTTAGATGGCTCAATTCCTGCTCCTCCTCCCTATAGTTTTGATGCAAATCAGCGTGAGGTCATTAATCCAGATTATTGTAATTGGTTAAAACTTGATCAAACTGTCCGCTCTTGGTTGTTTGCTACTTTGTCCCGTGATGTGTTAATTGAGGTTCGTGATTTAAAGAATGCTTCTGCTATTTGGGGTCGTTTGGAATCCCATTTTATGTCTGCTAGTCTTGCTCGTTGCAAGGAACTGAAATGGCAGTTGACTCATTCTCGAAAGAGTCCCACTCAGTCCATGGATCACTATCTCCGGGATATTAAAAATATTGTTGATAAGTTAGCCTGCATCAATTCACCGGTCTCTACCAAGGAACTCTTTCAGACTATTTTACGTGGCTTGGGAAGAGACTATGAATCTCTTATTACTTCGGTTGAATTGTTTCCTGAGCGTTTCACGTTTGAGAAATTGCGTACTCATCTCATCGAAAAGGAGCAGACCATTCAATATATGCGTGCCATGGAAGACTCCACTACAGCTCAGGCCTTTGCTGGCCAAGTTCAGACCGCGGGACCACCTCCTCCTGGCGGGCAGCAGCAGCACCATGGCGGGCAGCAGCAGCATCATGGTGGGCAGCAGCATCAACCTGGTGGCAGAGGGCAGCGTGGTCGAGGAGGCCGCGGGCAGCGCGGCCGCGGTGGCCGAGGCGGTCGAGGACAACGGGGTCGTGGCTATGGCCCACCCCCGGCAGGTTATGGCTTCGGCTATGGCTATCCTCCCCCCGGATATTTTCCAGGGGGTGCACCACATGCTGGCATTCTTGGGGCTCCAGGCTCAGCGGGTATGTCTGTTCAGTCAAATTTTTATACGTATGCTTTATCTGCTTCTTGTACTAATCGTGGTTATGCAGGCTCCTCTTCAGTTAAAGGGAATTCAGTCCCTCCTCCTGTTGTCTGTCAGATTTGTTATTCTCCAGGTCATCCTGCTTCTACTTGTCCGTCTCGCTTTGTTCAGCCGGCTGCACCTGCTCTTGCTGCTCAAGCTCCTGAGCATTCAGACATCGTTTGGTATCCTGACTCAGGTGCCTCAGCACATATGACTCCACATTCAGGTATTTTATCTAATAAATCCTTTTCACCTAATTCTCATTCTATCATAGTTGCAAATGGTACATCTCTTCCTGTTATGAATACTGGTCAGGCTACTTTATCTTCCTCTGCTCGCCCTCTTCACTTAAGATCTGTTTTTCATGTGCCTCACATTAAATATAATCTTTTGTCTATTCAAAAATTGTGTGCTGATAACAATTGCGCTGTTATTTTTGACAAAAATTATTTTTCTGTTAAGGATCTAACAACGGGGGCGGTTCTGCTTCACGCTCGCAGTGATAATGGTTTCTACCCTGTTCGTCAGCCTGCCTCATCACCCATTGCCTTATCCGCTGCTTCGGTTTCCTTATGGCATAATAGATTAGGACATTGTGGTACTCGTGTTTTAGATCAACTCCTAATTAATCATTCTATTTCTGGCACTGTTAGTTCTGCTTCTGATTGTATTCCCTGTCGTTTGGGAAAATCTCAACGGTTACCCTTTAATAAAGTTTTTCATAATAGTCCATATGCTTTATATTTAATTCATTCTGATGTCTGGCAATCTCCTGTTCTCTCTCATCAGGGTTTTAAATATTATGTGTGTTTTGTGGATGATTTTTCTCGTTTTACTTGGGTTTATCCCATGCGGCGCAAGTATGAGGTTATCACTCATTTTCATCATTTTAAATTAATGATCGAAAATCTTCTTGACCGCAAAATTAAGATTTTTCAGAGTGATGGAGGGGGTGAATTTGATAACTTTGATATGAGGCATATTTTTACTAATCATGGCATAATTTTTCAAAAATCTTGTCCTGAAACTCCACAACAAAATGGTGTCGCTGAGCGTAAGCACCGGCATCTACTTGAACTAGCACGCACTATGCTTATTACTGCTAATTTACCAGCTACATTTTGGGTTGATGCTGTGCTTACTGCCACTTTTATTATAAATAGATTACCCTCTCCTACTCTACATGGTCTCTCTCCCTGTGAAAAATTATTTCACTCCAAACCAGATTTGTCTATGATGAGAGTTTTCGGGTGTGCTTGTTTTCCTAACTTTAACGCCTCATCGGCTAATAAACTCTTCCCACGTTCTGTACAATGTGTTTTTCTGGGATATGCGTCTGAATATAAAGGGTACCGTTGCTATGATCCTATCTCAGGCAGAATCTATATTAGTTGGAATGTCAGATTCCTAGAACATATTTTTCCCTATTCGGATTTATCACGTGCCACAATGTCTGACTCTAGTGTGTCTCATCTCCCTTCCCCTCTTATTATTTCTCCTATCCGAGACCTGCAGCCATCATCTCCTCTGCATCACCCATGGCTTTCTCTCCTACCAGCCAGCTCCTCTCCTTCTCCTGTCTCTCTTAATCACCCTGGCATTCCCACCAACCAGCCAACCACATTTCCCAGCCCACCCTCACCTTCCTCTCAAAATTCACCCACTCAGCCGACCCACTTTCACACTACACCACCCGATTCCCAACCAAACAGCCCGCCCAGCCCAGTCCAACCTGCAGCCAGTTCACCTCCCTCCTTTACCGAGCATGATTCTTCTACCACCTGCACCATCTCAGTGCCATCTGACTCTGCCCCGGTTGCTAATATCCACCCAATGCAAACCCGGTCCAAATCCGGGATTTTTAAACCAAAAACAATTTTTACTTTAAATACAGTTGTTAGTACACCCGACCCCACTTGTTTTTCTATGGCAAATAAACATCTTAAGTGGCGAGCCGCTATGGCGGAGGAATTTAATGCTCTTATCTCTAATCATACATGGGATCTTGTACCATTTGATGCTAGCAAGAATGTAGTTGGGTCCAAATGGATTTATAAGACCAAATACTTATCTGATGGGTCTGTGGATCACTATAAAGCGCGGTTGGTTGCTCAGGGGTTTAATCAGCAGGCAGGTATTGATTTTACTGAAACCTTTAGTCCTGTTGTCAAACACACTACTGTTCGTCTTGTTCTAACTTTAGCTGTATCTTTTGGTTGGTCTATTCGTCAGCTTGATGTGAAAAATGCCTTCTTACATGGTAATCTTACAGAGGAAGTTTATATGCGTCAACCTCCGGGATTTGTTCATCCTCAGTTTCCCACTCACTTGTGTCGGCTTCGTAAAGCCATTTATGGCCTAAAACAGGCACCGCGTGCTTGGTTTCATCGATTTAGTAGTTTTCTTCTATCTCATGGTTTTGTCTGCAGCCGGTCTGATAATTCTCTATTTATTTTTCGGCGTAATTCTGATGTTATATACCTGTTATTATATGTTGATGATATCATTGTTACAGGTAATTCTACTACATTAGTCAGTCTTTTTTTATCTCTTTTGGGTAAGTGTTTTGCGATGAAGGATTTGGGTGACTTACATTTTTTCTTAGGCATCCACGCTACTTATACTTCCTCTGGGCTATTCCTCTCTCAACATAAATATATTTCTGATCTCCTTCATTGTTTTCATCTTCACACACTCAAACCTGTTCGTTCTCCACTTCCTAGCCGCACTAAACTTTCCCTTACTGATGGAGAGCTACTTGCTGATGCCACGGATTACAGAAGTATGGTAGGTACATTACAGTATTTGACTTTGACTAGACCAGATATTACTTTTGCTATTCATTTGGTTTCTCAATTTATGCATGCCCCCCGTACTTCACATTTGTTGGCTGTTAAGCGTATTTTCAGGTATCTACAGGGCACGTCTACTCATGGCTTACTCCTTCAGTCTACTCACGGCTCTCCAGAGATCATTGCCTATTCTGATGCTGATTGGGCTGGGTGTCCTGATACAGGCCGATCCACTTCTGGTTATGCAATTTTTCTAGGACCGAATCTCATCTCCTGGCGATCCAAGAAGCAGCCGACAGTCTCCCGCTCTTCCACAGAGGCTGAATATCGAGCCGTGGCTTTTACAGTACAGGATACTCTGCATATTCGCTCTGTTTTATTCGAGCTTGGTTTTCCGGTTCGAATGCCTACTAAGTTGTTTTGTGATAATGTTTCCGCTTCATATCTCTCGGTTAATCCTATTCAGCATTCAAGGAGTAAGCATATTAATATTGACTATCATTTTGTTCGTGAGCGGGTTGCACATGGTGATCTTTGTGTTAAGTATGTTCCTACACAGGCTCAGCTGGCAGATATTTTTACAAAGTGTTTGTCCCCACAACGGTTTACTCTTCTTCGTGACAATCTGCGCATTGTTTCCCCTGCACAGCTTGAGGGGGTTTAATAGAGTAGATTAGTGTAACACTTGAGATTTAATATAAACGGATTAATAATACTACTCATACCAACAGAGGTGCATCTCCTTTTACGGGAGCTCATCCGCTAAGAACTCCAAAGTTAAGTGTGCTTGCACGGGAGTAGTCTTGGGATGGGTGACCCCCTGGGAAGTTTCTCAGGGCGCGCATGAGTGAGGACAAAGTGCGCGGTAAAGGCTTGTGGTGGTTTGTGGGGACAGTACTGGAGGTCCAGAGTAACTACCTCGGGTCCTACGGGGCCGGGGTGTTACAGGTGGTATCAGAGCAACTCTGCGACAGTGTGCTGATCCGTTGGATATCGGGCGGGCACTTAGCGGGGGAAGATTCTGGGATTTGATTGAGATTTGAGATTGGTTCAAGGGCGCAACGAGGACGTTGCGATCCTAAGTGGGGGTGATTGTAACACTTGAGATTTAATATAAATGGATTAATAGTACTACTCATACCAACAGAGGTGCATCTCCTTTTACGGGAGCTCATCCGCTAAGAACTCCAAAGTTAAGTGTGCTTGCACGGGAGTAGTCTTGGGATGGGTGACCTCCTGGGAAGTTTCTCAGGGCGCGCATGAGTGAGGACAAAGTGCACGGTAAAGGCTTGTGGTGGTTTGTGGGGACAGTACTGGAGGTCCAGAGTAACTACCTCGGGTCCTACGGGGCCGGGGTGTTACAATTAGTTATTTATTTAATTATTATTAGTATGGGACTCATATTGTAATTATTACTCTTGTTTCCTATATATATCTGCCAGGGCTAACATTATGGTCAAGTCTGGTATTATTTCTCACAGCTGCTTGCTTGTTACAGAAAAGACTGAAAAGAATGGTGCTACTGCGGCTAACTTCAGAAAAAATGAAAGGAAAGAGTGGATGGTGCGGTGCCGCTGCTATCCCGGAAAAAAAAAATCAGCTGATCCTTTTTTTTTTTGGGCGGCTAACGTTGCTGCTATCTTTTTTTTGGGATATAGACCTAAGTAAGACTAAAATAAAAGTCAGGAAGGTAAATAGGAGTTAAGGCTTTTTAACTCCTAAATAAGACTTATTTGAATCAAAGGGACAAAATTGCCCTTACTAAACCTATCTCGTTCCCAGGCTGCGACAATATTGCTGCCAACATAGGCAGAGAAGAATCACGAGATCCTGGAGGGGGTCTCTTCCGGCTGTGCCACCGCACTCCTGATCTTCTTCATAATCGCATGAGTTTGTCAAGAGACGAAAGCGATGCGGTGAGACTGAGACACGGTCTTAGAAAATAAGAATTCAGGGGTAAATCTGGAATGAACGGATATTTAAGTCCTATTTAAGAGTTAAAAAAGTCAAGCTCTTATTTAATTACATACGAAAACTTAAGCTCCTATTTAGTACCATTTCTCTTTTTTTTTTCTTTGGGCTGTTTGTTCTTTTTTTCTCTTTTCTTTTTGGGCTGCACTTAACTTTTAATACAACGCTCAAATGATTCGGCCCAAATAAGTCACCGCAAACTTCAGTCTGTAAAATCACAACTCACTACACCCGCTAATAGAGATGGCAATTGTGACCGATCCGATGGATACCCGCACCGAACCGCCCCGGTCAAAATGGGGAAAACCATATTGACCGGGTAATGGGTACGGGGCGGGGAATACCCGTTTTGTTTTTACGGGTAACGGGGCGTTTACGGTTTTATGCATGCCCGCCCCATTACCCGCCCTGTTTATTTTTAGTTATATTTTATTACGTTCTTATCTATTATTTGTCTTACAACTAATAAAAGATGAGATTTTTAATGTTCATTGTGTATATATGGATAATAAATGTACTAACTATAGTGTAAGAATGAAAGTTCTCAATAGAACTTAATAGCCTTGTTTGATTATTACATGATTTTTTGTGATTAATTATTTTTCAGTTCAAGTATTTTTAGGTTCAAATTAATTTAGGTTGTTTTCTTTCTCGTCTTATAGATATATGAAGCTTTAAAGTGGCGTCTGAGTCTAGCGTCGTCTAGGTGATGCCATTTTCCGCCTTTTAAAATATTATTTTTTGTTAAAATATCAATGACTCATTTAATAAAGTGATTACCCGCGGTTACCCGCAGCTATACCCGTTACCCGTTGGGGCGGTTATGGTTTGAGTACAAATTACCCGTTGGGTAATGGGGCGGTTATGGGGCGGGGGAATTACAAAACGGGGCGGGTACGGTTATATGTAAAACCGTCCCCGATCCGCCCCGTTGCCATCCCTACCCGCTAATAATATGCAATTTTACAATCAAATTACTCCAAATATGTCAAATTGTGTAGAAAAACACTACACTGAATAAAAATGCCACCGAGACCGAAAAATGACAAATTTTCACACAAAACCCCAATAGTGACCCAATTAATTATAAAAATTAGACAATTAACATCCAAAATATGAGTGAAAAGATAGGAACGGAACGAGCCTATCAAATATCCCCACACTTGAACGTCGTTTGCCCCCAAGCAACAATGCATTAAACCCACAGAAAACAAAATAATCATATGTAAAACCTGGTTCAAAAATCATTCACACCCAAAACAAAATGGTTGCACAAGGTCTTTTCTTTCTTAACAACGAAACCAAGATTCACATGTTAAACAATATTTTCAAAAGTAAAATCCCTCTCCAACCGACTAAAATGTAAAGAAAAGCATGATGGTCCCAACGGTGTAGGTGTGTGAAATTCAAACCACCAATCATTCAAAAAAACCAAGAGCTGTGTGATAAAAACCGGTATACTCGTGATATTTTTTTTTATATGTAAAGGTTGACCAGGTTCTGGATTGCAGGACAGATTCAAGCTCTAGGGCCTGGGAGTTTATCTCATTATTGTGTACTCAACTCTCACACGGGGTGATTCGCGAGATGAGCATAGCCCCATTTCGGGGATGAAATTCTCGACACACGAAGTGTAACACCGTCCCCAAATATATTTACTTTTATGTAAATAATGTATTGAACCTTATTAAAGGGTTAATGAATTTACGAAGTTGTAAATTTTTACTACTTCTTTCGCGTGAATAGTAAATTGCACGTGGGACCCACACCGAGTGTGGGGGCTGCCCGACATTCCCGAGACCATATATTTTATTCATCTTGGTCTAGATAATAAATATATATTGGTGGATATTTCATTTGGGCCATGGAAAGGCCCAGAGTTGACCGATCGGTCAAAAGAGGCCCAAATTACCGGTACTGGTAATTTAACGGATAACAGCCCGAACTGAATTTCGGAGGCTTATAAATTAAAGTTGGGGAATGTATATTCATTATACATGTCATAATGAGTAAGAGCACATAATATATTTTATTGGACCTGATAAAATAAAATATATTTAAAACAGTCCAAAAAATACAACTTTCGGGACCGATTGTACACTTCGGGACAAAAAGGGTTGACCTCCCACATGAGTGGGGGCCAACCCACGTTTTTGCCACTCAAATTGGAGGGGTTGGCCGGCTGGTAAGAGAAGAGAAGCATGGGAGGAGGCTTTGATATGATCTTTATGGCATCAAACAAAAATGAGGTGGCCCCCATCCACACTCATTTGTTCAATGAGACAAATGGGTAAGCCTCACCCCTCTCCCACCCTCATTTTCGGCCAAGAGAACCCAGGAAGAGCAAAGAACCACCCAGCCTCCTTCCTCCATTGTTGAAGAGAGCTCATCAAAGAAGAATCACCCAAAAAAGAGCTAAAGTGCTAAAAGTGTGAAATAATTAAGGTAATGACCTTATTATAACTTTTTCTTTATTTTTCTTCTACCATATGAGATATAAATCATGTGAAGAATCCTTAAGAGGGTTCTACATGTTATAAGTATGGATTAATGGGTTGGAAAGGGATTCTATGTCCAAGAACGGACTTAGAAGCCAAAACGACCGGTTCACCGGAAAATAACCGTTTTGAGGTTATTTGCATTAATATGGGTTTTATGATTATAAAACCTTGTTAGGAACTTGTGAAAGGTATTTCAAGTGATTTCACAAAGTTGGAAAAGTCGCCGGAGTTGTCGCCGGAGTTGACCGAAAGTCGCCGGAGTTTCACCGGAGTTCAACCAAGAAGGGTAGAACTTCATAACGCTAATTCAAGGTGAGTGGACGGCTTAATATCTTATAACTTTTGGGTTAATTATGAGATTACCTAAATAAATGTTATATGAGTTCATAATAATGTTTAAAAGATATTTAAACATGTGATTAGCCAATAGGGTTAAGATTGTATGAAAGAAATAAATTGTTTGTGCATGGAATATGATATGAAGGATTTTATAAAATACATATTTGTTTGAAATGTATAAGATGCACAAATGAATATTATTAACTTAATTACATGATGGTTAAGTTGATAAGTATAAGACTTGTAATGGCGGCCAACGACAACGTTGACCGATGGATAATGAATTAATTAATATCGGTTGGTATTAGTTAATTATGTATTTATATAATTGCATGGCTTTGCATGGATTGTGATACATAAGCTTGATGTATTGGATTAGTTATGAGGAACTAAGTATGATATAGACTCTATCTAGGTTGATAGAAGGTTGATCATAGGCAAATATATTGGTGGAGGACCCTAGTACTTAAAAGTACTTAACACTCAAAATTTGGTGGAGGACCCTAGGACTTAAAGTCCTTAACACTCGGATTATAAACTTGGTGGAGGACCCTAGTACTTAAAAGTACTTAACACTCAAACTTGGTGGAGGACCCTAGTACTTAAAAGTACTTAACACTCAAACTTGGTGGAGGACCCTAGTACTTAAAAGTACTTAACACTCAAACTTGGTGGAGGACCCTAGTACTTAAAAGTACTTAACACTCAAACTTGGTGGAGGACCCTAGTACTTAAAAGTACTTAACACTCAAACTTGGTGGAGGACCCTAGTACTTAAAAGTACTTAACACTCAAACTTGGTGGAGGACCCTAGGACTTATGAGTCCTTAACACTCACAAACCGGTGGAGTACCCAAGGATTATGATCCTCAAAACTCGTAGATTATGATATTGGAATAGGGACAAGGAGGAGTCCTATACACTCATTGGTATATGGGTGGGTTGGGGTTTTTAGTCAAGAATATTGACTATTACTATTTTTCCCAAATAAAATGGTGATCTACGGATCGGATATTTTCCAAGTATATATTTATACTAATAAATATTTCATAACTTGGGGGAAAGACTATCTATTTAAGTATCACCCTATGTTTGGGTCTTATACTTGAAACGTTAGTTATTCTATATTTAGCCTGCTACTCGCTCGGTACTTGTACTGACCCCTTCGGGGGGCCCCACCATTTTCAGGTTGAAGCTAGGGCTTGCTACTTGCACCTTCTCACGGGTGGTATCAAATCAGGAAGACGTGGTTCGTGCTTCCTTATTTTCTTTCAAACTACCGAACACTTGCTCATGGATATTTGTTCTACTATAAACTATTTTTGGGGCTTGCATGCCCATGTTGTTGGCCGGTTGTGGCTTATGACTTACCGTTGAATATTTCCGCTATTCATTGGTTTAAATGTGATGTTGTTATGTATGTTTACTACTGAGCATGGATGGATTGTTTTCTCAAACGCCTTGTGTAATTAAGTGAGGTTGACTCGCGGGTGACGTCACTTAATTATACGGCGGTTGTACACGCGCTTGGATTGCGGTCTGGGGCGTGACAATTAAGTGGTATCAGAGCCATCTCAGTTCTAAACATTATAATCAACCTCTCACAAAGGATTTTACAAAAGAGTTTTTACCGAAAACCATGAGCATTGTATTTTGACGTTCATAGGACTATTGGTGCTTAAGTTGCAAGGCCTCTAATTGTTAAGACGGTACCCTTAACAATTGGTATGGTAGTGACTTGGGCCAATATGTGTCTGTAACGTTCTTCCGTCAGTTGACATTTATAGGAGTCTAATGACTCATCCATATTTCTTTCAGAAAGGGAGGGCAGGCGAATGAGGACCAGGAACAATCCGAGGGGGCAGGCGCCGGTAGCATCCCAAAGGGGAAGCCGGGCTGCATCTCGGGGTTCGAGAGGAGGCCGTGGAGGCCGTGGAAGCCGTGGAGGTCATCAAGCTCAAACTGTGAGTGATGGCCATGTAAGCTCGGTGTATGAAACCAACACCGAGGACTATGACTCAACCTATGTTCCTGAAACGGAGCATGAGGAGACCCCATATGATGGGGGTGACACATACACCGATGATGATGATGAAGAGAGTGATGCCAAGTTCGCCCAAATGGGCGAATTGCTTGAGTGGTATCAAAAAGAAAAACTGAGGAGAGACCTTAGGCGCCAAGCAAGGCGTGGCTCTCGCGGTGGTTCGCGTCAAGGAAGCCGGGGAGCTTCAAGAGCCACTCCCGCGGCGCCACATGATGGGCGTGAAGGAGGCTTTTGTGTGAGAATCTCCAAGTACCTCAAGGAGGCTAGGGCCTTGGGGTGTAAGTCCTTTGACGGCACCGGTGACATTACCGTTGCCGCCGATTGGATAAAGAAGGTGAAGGATGCGGCAAAGGACATGCAAATTTCACCGGACGTGAAGTTGACTGTTGCTTCACGGCTGCTTGAGGGGATAGCTTCCACGTGGTGGGAGAGTGTGGAAGGAAAATACCATGGGGAGGTCTCATGGTTGAACTTCGAGCAGGAGTTTTATGACCAATACTACACTGACTATGAGAAAAATGTCAAGCGTAGGGAGTACACCAACCTCAAACAGAAGGAGGGTGTGTCTGTTAAACATCTGGAGCAAGATTTTAGAACCTTGGCTAGGTTCTTGCCGGAGTACGCGATCAATGAGGACCGCATGTCGGAGCACTTTTGGGATGCCTTACTCTTGGACATCCGTGATCGGGCTACGTACTCGCGCCACATGACCTTTAGCGAGGTAGTGGAGCAGGGCCTTCTTGGGGAGGCTCAATGGAATGAGAGGAAAGAAAGAGACGCCGAGGAGGCGAAAAAGAGAAAATGGCATAATTCGGGGCCGCCCGAGCAAGCACGGAAGAATCACCACGGTGGGGGTGGTAGTACGTTCAAGACGCCGGCACCACCGGCGAAGAAGAACAAGGATGCTCGGTGGCACGCATCCTCCTCTCAAAATACGGGGCCTCCTAAGTGTGCCAACTGCTCAAAGAATCACTTCGGGAAGTGCAACGCACCCCCGAGGTGTTATCGGTGTGGGAACACGGGCCACATGAAGGCCAATTGCCCACAATTGGGGGGAGGAGGAGCTCCGGGATCCGGAGGAGGAACCATGACGGGGAGAAACCGTGCGGGCCCGTCAAACGGCGGTACGGGAAGAGGCGGCGCGTCCACAAGTCATGCCGCGTCCGTAAATCAAGGCGGGACCCAAGCACGAGTGTACGCAATGACCGAGGCTGATGCACGAGCAAACCCGGACTCCGTTGCAGGTAATACACTTATTTTCCTGTATTTCTAGGCTTATTTGGGTCATACGAGTCATTGGGTTTGGGTGCGGGCCACCCCGGGGTCAAACCCCGCGAATTCGGGGCGAAACAGGCTAAAAACAACTACGCGCGATCGCGCGTACCTACAGACGCACGACCGTGCGTACGAGGCAGCAGCCTCTGGCCAATTTCCGCGCAGACGCACGCCGTGCGTGCAGGTAAGGCACGCCGTGCGTGGACGCACGATCGTGCGTGACCAGCTACGCACGATCGTGCGTAGCCGGCAGTGGCGGATTCCGGATTTTTCAAGCACGCACGACCGTGCGTGCCACCCAGGCACGCCGTGCGTGGACCCCCAACACCCGAAACTTGATTTTTTCGCCCCGTTCTTCTACGTTTGGACCCCCGTTTGATTCCAAACATTAGTATGAGCCTAATAACCTCCTAAAGATGTGTTAAAACATTAGAAAATGTATCTTACATGTGTATAAATGTAGGAACATTAAAGATCAATGGTAGGTGTGCGAGGATCCTCATTGATACCGGGGCACAACGCTCATTTGTGAGTGAGGCGTTCGCCGAGGGCCTTGACGTGCCATTGACACCTATGACTCAAACGTTGCTAGTCTCCACACCGTTAGGAGACGACGTGGAGAGAAATCATTACTATCCGTCGTGTGAGGTAGAAGTGACGGGTCAACCTTTGACTTGTGATTTCGTACCTCTAAGCATGTTGGAGTTCGATGCAATCCTAGGAATGGATTGGCTCGAGAAACACCATGCCCGAGTAGATTGCTACATCAAAGTGTTGGAGCTCGAGGATGATCAAGGGAACACGCTATGCTTTGAGGGAGATCGGGGGAAATCTAATGCTTGTATCATATCCGTGATGAGAGCACGGAAGATGATGAGAAAGGGATGCCACGCGTACCTTGCCTACGTGGTGGACGATACCAAGAAGGAAGTCGACATCAAAGATGTACGGGTCGTGTGCAAGTACCCGGATGTCTTCCCCAAAGACCTACCGGGGCTTCCACCCGATAGAGAGATAGAGTTTGTAATTGAAGTGGAGCCGGGAACCAAACCCATTTCGATTCCTCCTTATCGAATGGCACCGGCCGAACTTCAAGAGTTGAAGGTCCAACTGCAAGAATTATTGGACAACGGATTCATCAGACCCAGCCATTCACCGTGGGGGGCACCCGTACTCTTCGTGAAGAAGAAGGATGGTACACTAAGAATGTGTATTGACTACCGACAATTGAACAAGGTCACAATCAAGAACAGGTATCCCTTACCGAGGATTGATGACTTGTTTGATCAACTTCGGGGGGCAATAGTCTTCTCGAAGATTGATTTGAGGTCGGGGTATCATCAGTTGAAGATCAAGGAGAGCGACATACCTAAGAGTGCATTCCGCACTAGGTATGGTCATTACGAGTTCCTTGTGATGTCGTTTGGTTTAACCAACGCACCGGCAGCATTCATGGACTTGATGAACCGGGTGTTTAGTGAATACTTAGATCAATTTGTGATAGTATTCATTGATGATATCTTGATATACTCCAAGAGTGAGGAGGAGCACGAGCATCATTTGGGGCTTATACTTGATCGGCTAAGGGAAAAGCAACTCTTTGCCAAGTTCTCTAAATGCGAATTTTGGCTCAAGGAGATTGGTTTTCTCGGTCACGTCATATCCGGTTCGGGCGTAGCTGTGGATAACGCCAAGATAAAAGCTATTATGGATTGGGAGAGACCCAAGAATGTGAAAGAGATACGTAGTTTCCTTGGCTTAGCGGGATACTATCGTAAATTTGTTGAAAAATTCTCCGTATTGGCGTCTCCATTAACGAAGCTCACAAAGAAAGGGGCCAAGTTCATATGGGACGACAAGTGTGAGAAAGGGTTCCTTGAACTGAAGAAACGACTTACCGAAGCACCAGTCCTCGCCCTACCCATACAGGGGATAGGGTATGATATATACAGCGATGCTAGCATCCAAGGGCTTGGATGTGTACTGATGCAAAACGGTAAGGTGATTGCCTATGCTTCTAGGCAATTGAGGAAACACGAGGTGAACTACCCTACCCACGACCTAGAATTGGGGGCGGTAGTGTTTGCACTAAAAATTTGGAGGCATTATCTCTACGGGGAGACATGTCACATTTATACCGATCATAAGAGCTTGAAGTATGTATTCACTCAAAAAGAGTTGAATATGAGACAAAGGAGATGGATGGAGTTGATCAAGGACTATGACTTGATCATCGACTACCATCCCGGAAAGGCCAACGTAGTGGCCGACGCACTGAGCAGGAAAAGTACGTCGGGGACGTTACTTACTTGTCTGCAGGCATTAAGGGCACGCGTGGAGGTGTCCACGTGTGGGGCTCTCATTGCTCAATTTGAGGTTAGGCCCACCCTATTGGGTGAGATTAGTCGAAGTCAGGCCATTGATGAGGAATGTCAGAAAATCCGTGAAAGAATCCTGGAAGGACCCGTTGAGAACTTCCGAATACGTGATGACGGTCTATTATTGTTTAAGGATCGTGTATGCATACCAAAGAATGAGGAACTCCAGAGGTCTATACTTGAGGAGGCTCATTCTTCAGCTTATGCTATGCATCCAGGAGGTACTAAGATGTACCGAGATTTGAAGGAAAGTTACTGGTGGTCAGGTATGAAGAGGGACATCGCAGAGTATGTGAGTCGATGCCTTACTTGCCAGCAAGTTAAGGCAGAACATCAGCACCCGGCAGGGCTTTTGCAGCCACTCACCATCCCAGAGTGGAAGTGGGAGCACGTGACCATGGACTTCGTGGTGGGGCTACCACGAACAGTGAACAACTATGATGCAGTTTGGGTAGTGGTTGATAGGCTCACCAAGAGTGCACACTTTTTGCCTATCAACATTACTTATCCTCTTGAAAGATTGGCCAAGCTCTACACGGAGGAAATTGTGAGATTACATGGAGTCCCGATATCCATTGTCTCGGATAGGGATCCACGATTCACATCCCGATTTTGGCCAAAGTTTCAGGCATCGCTGGGTACCAAACTGAAGTTTAGCACAGCTTTTCACCCACAGACGGATGGACAGTCCGAGCGGGTGATACAGATTTTGGAAGACATGCTTAGGGCATGTGCTTGGAGTTCCAAGGAAGTTGGGACAAGCATTTGGCCCTAATGGAGTTTGCTTATAACAACAGTTATCAAGCAAGTATCGGCATGCCTCCATATGAGGCATTGTATGGGAGGAAATGCAGAACACCGTTGTGTTGGGACGAGGTTGGCGAGGCCAAACTCGAAGGGATAGAGCTGGTTGAGATCACCAAGGCCAAGGTAAGGATCATTCGGGATAGATTGAAGGCTGCTCAGGACCGACAGAAGAGTTATGCTGATAAACGGCGGAGACCGTTGGAGTTCGAAGTCGGTGACGAGGTCTTCCTAAGGATTTCTCCTTGGAAGGGCATCATTCGATTTGTATCGAGGGGAAAGCTTAACCCCCGATACATTGGTCCATTTGAGATCCTTGAAAGGATTGGAGCCGTGGCTTATCGTCTCAAGTTAACGCCGGAACTTGAGAAGATACATGATGTGTTTCATGTATCAATGCTCAAGAAGTACATACGGGATCCCTCTCATATTCTTGAGAAACCGCCAGTAGAGATCCGTGGGGATTTGCAATATGCGGTGGAACCAGTGAAGATTGTTGGTCAACAAGTGAAGAAGCTTAGGAATAAGGAGATTCCTATGGTAAAGGTCCTTTGGAGGAGTGATCGAGTCGAAGAAGAAACTTGGGAGACCGAGGTCTCAATGAGGGAGCAATACCCATTTCTTTTCGATTAGATACTTGGATTTCGGGGACGAAATCCCAAATAAGGGGGGGTGAACTTGTAACACCGTCCCCAAATATATTTACTTTTATGTAAATAATGTATTGAACCTTATTAAATGGTTAATGAATTTACGAAGTTGTAAATTTTTACTACTTCTTTCGCGTGAATAGTAAATTGCACGTGGGACCCACACCGAGTGTGGGGGCTGCCCGACATTCCCGAGACCATATATTTTATTCATCTTGGTCTAGATAATAAATATATATTGGTGGATATTTCATTTGGGCCATGGAAAGGCCCAGAGTTGACCGATCGGTCAAAAGAGGCCCAAATTACCGGTACTGGTAATTTAACGGATAACAGCCCGAACTGAATTTCGGAGGC